ATACATCTTGTGACATGTCAGTGTGGCAGGTGACTCTCTCTTAGTTTTCAGGCAATTCAATAAGTTTACTTTAGATTTTAGAAGCAATGCCAGACATTTCGTTTTGAAAGTAATTTAAGGTATGTTTATGTCCTCAGGGGAACGCAGGTCCCGCTGCATTCTGGGTACTGGGCTGCTTACTCACCCACCCTGAAGCGCTAAGGGCTGTGAGAGAGGAAATCCAAGGTGGAAAACACCTCCGTCCCGACGAAACACAGAAAAACACTCCAGTGTTTGGTAGGTCACATCAGTGAGATAGCTTATCATCCTATTATAAATATAGAACATCTTATGTAAATGCCCATTTATTTCTGCCTTTGAATCTTGGATTAAATTTTGTGTGTATATATATATATATATATATATATATATATATATACACTGTATTAGTGGGTGGTGTCACTATCTAACATATTTTACAGCACTAATATATACAGTATATATATATATATATATATATATATATATATAAAAGTTTGTCAATATATAATAATATGTTTTTATATTTGTTTATATATTTCTATTTAATTATATTTTTATTTTATATTTTACAGCTTAATAGTTGTGTGTGCATGTTCATGCGCTTATATATATTGCAAGATGGGAATTACAAAACCAATTCCATTTTAAATTAAAATATTTTTTTTTTAAAATGTCACTTGTTTTTACAGATAGTGTCCTTAAAGAGACTCTGCGTCTAACTGCAGCTGCTCTAATCACTAGAGAAGCGATACAAGATAAGAAGATTCGTTTGAGCAATGGCCAAGAATACCAACTCCGAAGGGGCGATCGCCTGTGCGTTTTCCCCTTCATCAGCCCTCAAATGGACCCGCAGATCCACCAACAGCCAGAGGTAAATGCTCAAATTCCACTCCAACTTGGCAGAAAGATGAGATTCACTTGGGGGATAAATCATTTATTACCTGTAGAACATCTGTGCAAGATTTGAGATAAATTTGAAACGTGTATTGATTTTCACTTGATCAAAAATAGGTGTATTTGAAATAGACTATTTATTTTACAACCTAAACATTTTCATATACTCACAAAGGTAGCAAGCCACATCTAGAATATAATAGAGACTTGATGGTTGTCTCTTTTCTATTTTCTAACCCAGAGCAAGCCAGAGTACCCCAGCAACCAAGTAGCAATGCCATAGAAACATCTACAACACACTACAATAGGAACATGTTAGAAACAACTCAAACACCTTACAATCACACAGCAACACCATGGGAGCATGTTGGTGACTTTTTCATGGGCAAGTACCAATCAAAAATTAATAAATAAAAAAACTGTTATAAAATGAAAGGAATATATGTGAATTTAATTGAACACTTTATCAACCACATCCTGTTGGTGAGTACCTAAAGGAGTGGTTCACTTTTAAAAAAACTTTTGCTGATAATTTACTCACCCCCATGTCATTCAAGATGTCCATGTCTTTCTTTCTTCAGTCGAAAAGAAATTAAGGTTTTTGATGAAAACATTCCAGGATTTTTTTTCATACAATGTACTTTACTGGTAACCAAACGGTTCAAGGTCCAAAAGACAGTTTCAGTGCAAAAAGGGTTCAAAGGGTAAACGATTCCAGACAATGATTAAGGGTCTTATCAAGCGAAACGATCGCTCATATAAAAAAAAAGTTTAAGTTTTATGAGCTCAAATAATCGCCTTGCTCTGTTCTGTGATGCACGTTCGTGACTCTCCTGTTTGAACTCGTTCATCAAAATGAACGAATCTTTTCCCAAGTTAATTCCTTCATTTCGTTAGTTGTTAGTTGAATGAACCAAATGACACGAAAAAAGATTTGTTCATTTTGATAAACGAGTTCGAACAGTAGAGTCACATTTGAGCGACCATTTGAGCTTATAAAACTTAAAATTTATTAATTTTTTTTAAAATAGCAATCGTTTCGCTTGATAAGACCCTTATTCATCATCTGGAATCGTTTAAAGCCCTTTGAACAGTTTGCACTGAAACTGTCTTTTGGACCTTGAACCGTTTGGTTCCCATTGAAGTCCATTATATGGAGAAAAATCCTGGAGTGTTTTCATCAAAAACCTTAATTTCTTTTCGACTGAAGAGAGAAAGACATGGATATCTTGGATGACATGGGGGTGAGTGAATCATCAGCAAAAGTTTTTTTAAAAGTGAACTACTCCTTTAAGTACCAATTAGAAAATGGGGGGAGGGGATTAAAATATAATATAATATAATATAATATAATATAATATAATATAATATAATATAATATAATATAATATAATATAATATAATATAATATAATATATATATATAGCAACACCAACGAGAAAAAAATATATTTAATTTAAAATTAAAATATAATTCAAAATTATGAAAAGTAATACTTTCTTTAGGATCAAGATGTCAAGTTTACGTTTCTAAAATGTTAACTTATTTTTTTAGATTTAACTGACTGTTTTAAATGGTTTTGATGTTTAGTGTTGCTTTTTGGCAGATAAGGAATTGCATATTGCTTTATTAACACGCCTCACTTATTGACATAACCTAAACCCATATTCATCTTTATTGACATCCACTATTATGATCAAGCTTGGATTACATTCTGCACAGGTCAAAGGGCTAATCTAGTAAGATATCTGGGATTAGCCATTAAAGTGCTGTCATTGGCACAAAGACAAATAGGGGGGAAGTGGGCCACAGTTTATAGACACTGCTGCTGCTCCTACTATCTGTGAGAAACAGATGCACACACTTTGTTGGCCAAAATGCTGACGTTGCACCATAGTGCTAAGTGTTTTCACTGGGAACCACAGATCGGATCCAATCTTATATGTCAAGCATACTGATTAATAGTAAACTGATTAACAGCACAGCAAGATGTTGTTCCAGCAAGCAAACATTGGACACGTCTCACAAACATATCACATAAGCACTGTTTCTTGCTTTACAGTGTTTCATCAAGACAATCTTAATGTTGTTGTTGGGAGGTGCTACTACTAATAATACCATCATGTTGTATTAATTTTACACTCAAAGACACAATAATCAAAATTTTAACTCTGCCTGTCTTCTCGTAATGCAACAGATGTTCCAGTTTGACCGCTTCCTTAATGCAGATGGGACAGAAAAGAAGGAGTTCTTTAAGGAAGGGGTGAGGGTGAAACATCCCTCTGTGCCCTGGGGCACACAAGACAACCTGTGTCCAGGACGGTATTTTGCAGTTAGTGCAATTAAAGAGTGAGTATAATAGACTCAACACATCAACACTTAAAGACGACCCACTATGCTGTTTTCTTTAGTGTGTAATGTTGCTGTTTGAGCATTAAAAAAGGTCTGGAAAGTTACAAAGCACAAAGTCATTCCAAGGGGAGTTATTCTTTAATATTCTACATGACACATCACAATATTCCTCATTTAAATAAATCCTGGCCAAGACATACGCAAATAAAGGGGGGTGAAGCGTGGTTGAGTTGCCTTAGTAGTATGTTAAAATTCGTGGTGACGGTAAGGTGCATTTTCGAAACATGCTAGATGAGTTTGACCAATCACAACACAATGGTCCAGCCAACCAATTAGAGTACAGTAATCTTTTTGAAGGAGGGGCTTCATAGTGACAGGAACTAAACAGAGTGTTACTGACAGAAGGGGACGAGAGGTGGTGCAACAATGTAAAATATGTGAACAAATAATGTGTTTTTTGAACACTCAAGCTTGAAAACCTATTAAAATAGACCCCCCACACCTTTAGTCCTTGTTTTATCAACACCAGCTCTGAGTGCATGTTCTTCCATAAGCTTTTGCCTATTGCTTCTGTCTGTTAGGAACTTATAATGACATTTGGAATTATTTTCTAATTTTCCAATCCCTTTAGGCTTGTGTTCACAATCTTGGATCGATTTGATCTGGAGCTATGTAACAAGAATGCAACGCTGCCACTGGTAGACCCCAGCCGATATGGCTTTGGCATTCTTCAACCAGCGGGAGACCTAGAGATCCGCTACAGAATGAGATCTTGACCGTGCTAATACACCAAATCTTATTAAAACTGTACAGATAACAATTTTCTATTTTAAAACAATGTTTTAACAATGTTTTGAATACTTATTGAAATAATAAATATTGTATTTTTTTTTAAACTCTGGTTTTGTCATTCATGATGTAATTTGGATGTACTATTCTTACATTTCTGAAGAAATATCCCTCCCCATATCTCTTAATGCAATTTCAATTTTGATAACCTGCTTTAAATCACCTCGCAGATGTTGTATTCTATTTTTCTGCAATTGTTTGTTTGTCAGGGTCAAAGTAAAATGCTATACAGTGAATAATGGTCAGATTTTGGAAAACACATGCATTGAACTGTAGTCTTTTGAGGTCAAAGGAACATAGCTTAGGGTAAAATACACTTTTTATTTATTTTTCTCCCCTACAACACTTAATAGCAACAAGAACCACCTGTAACATCTAATTTAATACATGTGCTAAATAAAATATAATATAATTTTTTAGCAGATTTAGGTTTCTAGTGAAACCCCTGTTATCACATTTATTTTGAGACTTGTTTCTCATGTCCTTGCAATCTTTTAAACTAAATGCATAGGTAACAAATCATGCTGGCACCTATCAAATACACCACTATAATTTAAAGTCGGAGAAGTAAATCTCAACAGACTATCAAGGTTAATAATTAGAATCGAAAATTAGCTCTATTTGCTGAAATTCAATGTAAGGTCTTCTTGAATCTAATGACTGGAGACCCAAGAGTATCTTAGTACCGCTGCTTGGTAAAATATTGAATCAAACTCGCATATTCTAGGAGCTGCAGCAATGGCTGAACTGACTCATGGGTTGCTTGAGCACTGCCCCCAAAAGATGATGTGTTTCCGAACGCATATGACTAGTTAGTGGCTAGTTTTCGGTATTGCCCTATCTCCAGGCGCCATTTTCACGCAGGTTCCTCTTAACGACACACAAGGAGCTTCTCCAAGAGCCTGTTGGTGCCGGGCGACAAGGGTTAAACGCGTCGTCAATCTGCCATTGGGCGGCGAGACTACGGCGAGCCAGACATTTGCAAGGAAAGCAGCTGTCGCCTTCACGCAAGAGATGTTAGACATCAGTGAACGAAAACAGTGTGGATTCACCCCAGGACTTGTTGATCTTTTTCCACGAGCGGCGCGAGATGTGTAGCCTATGTCTGAAGAAGATGATCGAGCTGCTGTGTCCTGGCTTATTTAAACTAGCGTCCCTGCGGATTCGCCCATTTAAATGCTTAATTTCTCACCGCTGTCAGCAATAAGTCTTCACAAAATAAGGTGGGTTTTCTTTCTACCGATATTTATCAGTCAACCCAGTTTTTATATTTACCGTATGCTTAAATATTCGCCTATTGATCACATGGAAATTTCTGCCGAAAACCTAATGGGAAAAGTGTGACATGCTGTGTAGATGAGCTATACGCTTTTTTATAAATACTATTTAACTGCATGTTATGCATTTGAACATGCCATACTTATAGCCTAAGTCCAGCTGCAATTAGGTTATAATGCTGTTTAACACGTCTAAAGATGCATTTTTTTCTATTTATGATACAGGATCAATACTGCTGGATGCCACTCCTACAACGTTTAAATTATATTTATTGTCTTTATGATAGCACATTGCCAAAATGTTTTGAATATGTACCTTGTTGGTCCCGAATAATGCGCTTTTGCATTTGGCGTCACTTTTTCTCCAAGTGCACAAGATCAATGAAATCATATCATAAGCGCAGCTGCATTGATACATTGATGTGATGACTGCCGTGTGCAACTAATAGCATTTTATCCAAGAAAAGACGTGCGATGCTCATTAAAATCCATTTTAATTAGCTTCGCAGTGTGTACTGAAGGCTAAACCAAAACGTCTTATCTTGTCATCATGATGTTTTCCTCCTATTTTGCATGTTGTTGTTGTTGTTGCTGCTGCAGATGTAGGCTATGGGCTCCAGCCGACGTTACACTTAACTCTTTAGTTACAAGGTATGGAAATTAAACATAACCTTAAAGTCTTTTACTTCATAGTTTATGGAGTATTTTAATATTGTACAGCAAAAGGAATAGAGTTTTTAAACCGCAGCCAGATGATGATGATGATTAAATAGCCTGTTCCTTTCAAAAGTTTACAGGTGGATCACGTGCGTTACAATATATTTAGATTCAAATGTTTGTTATCTTTCGTGAGTTTATAGAGACGAGAGGGCGTTTAACTTCGACAAAAACTGCCTTCAGGAAAGCAGCAGGCGATTCAGCACCACGTTGGTGGACAGCGACCTCGAAGGCTTTGGGATTCGTAAGGAATTGAATGATTGCGACTCATCTTAATTCCGCTTCCTTCACGGTTCAGTTAATGACTCTATTTCAGATTCATTTAGTAGCCTAACGTTAATATTTAAAACTTCGAATTGCATTCACTGCCATAGTCTGTTGTCTAAATAGAGATAATTTCAGATGCCAACAGCAGGAATTAATTGAACACAGTTCTTTCAAAAAGTTTACACAGATATTTTGATGACTTTTTACACACTTTTAAAGCAAGTGAGCTATGTTTGGATTCACTAAAAAACTCGGACTAGCCACACTGTTCGTGCTCTCTTACTGAATCACTGAGTCATTTGTTTATGATTCGAACCATATTGGTCGCGCTATTTACCTTATTTTTCAACGCGGAAGTAACTTAATGTGTTTTCTGTGAATGTGACTTTAGGGAAGACTAATATACCAAAGTGCAGTAAACTGTAAAACTGTTTGCGCTACAAACCAGCGTGCTTATGATTAGGACAATATTGACAACGAGACAATGGATATGGTAAGAAATACCATAGCCGAGCTTTTTTTTTTAAAAAAAATAAATGGAGGCGAATGACATCGGAAGCCTGACGCATTAAAATTAGCATACAAATGTCCGCGCCCGCGCTTACCTGAAAAATAAGGTGGATATTGTTTTTAATTCGATGAAAATAATCGGCTCATGAAAGACGTTTATTGCAAGAATCAGATGGTCCTGCTACATGGTTTTGATTCACCAAAAGATCATAAGAGTCATTCGTTCGAGAATCGAACAACACGGGTGATTCGATGCGCGTCCAGGAACCGTAATCAAAAGTCATTCAAATGTAACTGATTTTTTTTCTGATTGTCAGTTCCTTAACCTGTTCAGCAGTCAGACGTTTAATTAAATATGCTCATCCTGGTAATTTGTTGGTTTATTTATTTATTTAGAAGAAGGAATAAAACTTCAGAAAACACACAACTCATTTATTGCTTCTCCTTTCATCAACAGCCTGAATAGAATGAAAAAGCTCGGAGAACCATTGGTCCTGCCTGTCCCATGGCCAAAATCATAGGGTAGTCTACACCAAAAAACAACATGGATAAACCCTCCGCAGGAATGAGTAAAGTTGGCTCTCGCTCGACGGCCTCTCTGCCCCCGGAGCCTGCGGAAATAATCCGGAGCATGTCGTGCTACCGGCGTGTCAAACTCAACGTAGGGGGTCTGCCGCACGAGGTCCTGTGGAGAACCCTGGACCGACTGCCGCGCACACGACTGGGCAAGTTACGAGACTGCAAAACCCACGAGTCACTCATGGACATATGCGACGACTACAACTTGGACGACAACGAGTACTTTTTTGACCGGCACCCAGGGGCGTTCACGTCTATTCTGAACTTCTACCGCACTGGGAAGTTGCACATGATGGAGGAAATGTGCGCCCTGTCCTTCAGCCTGGAGCTGGACTACTGGGGGGTGGATGAGATCTACCTGGAGTCGTGTTGCCAGGCCCGGTACCACCAAAAGAAAGAGCAGATGAACGAGGAGCTCAAGCGGGAAGCGGATACTATGAAGGACCGGGAGGGTGAAGAATTTGATAATACGTGTTGTTCAGAGAAAAGGAAGAAACTCTGGGACCTACTAGAGAAACCGGGCTCATCTGTAGCAGCCAAGGTAAGCATCACTACACACTGACAGCATCTTACCCGACTGATAAACAGGACAAGATTCAAACACAAAACTTCAACCGCAACTATGGCACGCTATTTGGACTTTTAGCCTTCATTTCCATGCAGTATAAAATGTAAATTCTTGATATAGGGAATCATATTTCCCCACTAGTGACAATGACAATCTTTGATTTCAGGAAACACATTTCGACTTAAAAACCAACAATGACGTCATCACTCTTCACTAGTTAAATGTCACCACTGGCTGCCATTCAAAATCTAGAATTGATTTCTTACTAGTTGTAATTCCAATTTCACATATCAGAAATATCAATCTTACTAGTTAATTTTTGATATTTTTGATATCAGTAATTGCGTGGTTACTAATGCAAACGTTTGTTCTTGATATCAACAATTGAATTGCTACGAGTAAAATTGTTCCTTTTTAATATTGATCATTTGATTGTCACTACTACAATGTTAATTTCCCATATCATGAATGTAATTGTTGATAAGAAGGCCATTTTACATATCTGAAATTACTCTCTCAATTATTGATATTAGAAATAGATGTTCAGATATCAGAAGAAGAAAAAACTCCACATAAGCAGTTAACAACACTCAATTAGCTTAAAAGGGAGATGTAAAAAGTGCAGTTCAAGCCTTTGGACTCTAACCAAATTGCTTCAGTCCTGTAATCAATCACAACAGAGTGGCACTCTCGAGCTTCTCACACAATTCAAAACGCAGTATTACATGTAAACATTCAGACTCAGCCCCTCTATGTGTTGATCATAGTTGCAGGTCTGACATCTCTATGGTCTAGTTGACATCTTTGGTCTTGGATTAAGAACAGCATCTTGGTCGAATGGCATTGTAAGAGATGCAATGCTTATCTGTAAAGTTGTATTCTCACTCAGTTTTGGCCATCTATTTAATGTGCTCTAATTTTATAATCGTGTACCTGTGTTTATATATATAGTCACATGGGATTGGGAGGGACAGTTCAGTGTAAGACTGTCCTTCCTGTTACCAGGCAACAGAGAGATGACTCTATCACTTTGAAAGGAAGAACTATGTCACTAGAGGACAAAGTTAGTGCTTGAGTGGTTTGTGGCTAAACTGGACCATTGTTTAGGCACATGTGCACACATGTTTTTGTACTCCATTAAGAACTGAACAAAGAGTCGGGCTTCTTTTTTGGCTTTTTCCTCTTCCCCCTCCCTCTCTCTTTTTCTCTAGCCTCCTTTACTGCACCTCTGGCTAAATGTCAGGGAAATGTCACATTAATTATCCTCCATGAGACTTTGTGTCCCATTCTGTTTTCAGCCCCTCCTTCCTCCCCTTCATTCTCACTCGAACGGGCTCTGTCTACATCTGTCTCGAATCAGATTTCGCTGCATGGCCCTACCGCACAATGAGATTATGTCAGACCGCCGTCATATCATTGCAAATTACCGCCCGGTCATATTTCAAAGCTAGACTTCACCTTATCAGCATTTACTAGCCCTGCATTACCATTCTATTTAGTTGACTCTAAAAGTGTGTTCATTAATAAAGTTTACAAGACAGAAGGTGGCAATTTCCTCAAGTTCAGGACCTTGTATTGAAGCCTCATGGTCAAAGCTGTGATGTCTCAGTCAAGGCATGAATGCTGAGGCAGTAAAGGTTGTTTTTAATTCAACTGTACACACAATTTATTATGTAATATGTTCAGCGCCATTTATTACCTGTATTGACTAACTACATTGTAAATCTCAGTTGTGCATTTATTATGCGATTTTAAGCGCAGGTCCTCAGATTCGAGTATGCGTAGATGACATGAAATACATTTGGGGAATACTTTGGGTGTGATGTGTTCAAATATTTTAAAGAACATGTTCTCCAATATTCAAATTCTCATGATTATTCAAAAGTAATCACATGATTCAAACACCACATGATTATTTTACATTTACATTTATTCATTTAGCTGACGCTTTTATCCGAAGTGACTCACACTTTGCACTTTGGCAGATAGGTGATTTAAAAAGTTGAAAAACTATATGTTATAATACACATTATATATATATATATATATATATATATATATATATATGTATATATATATAGGACAGTTTAATATGAAAGACTTTTCTGTATTCTTTTATTACAGGTTTTTTTCCACATTATTTAAATTACACATTGCGTTGTGTTGCATTTTAGGGTTAAAGGAAATCTCTGAGAAAATGGCCTGGCAGAAAAGGGCCAGTACCTGGCATGACGGTAATCTAATATAATCTTTTTTAGTATTGTGTGGTAAGGCCATGTAGTGACATAAGGACTTTAACCTAACATCTTAAAAGTTAATGGTGTGTGTATTGCTGTAAGTGTTGCACCTGGAGGAGACAGACAAACTGCTAGTGTTAGAATTCTTACCAAATGCAAAGAATGACAGATCACCCCAGATTAATCCCAATTAAAGGTGGTGCTGTGAGTTCAGACTATAAGTATGAACATGTCAAGATGGAGTAATTAGCAAATGTTCTTTTCAAAGAATCTCATTTATGATTTAGCTCATCACTTTTATTGAAGACCCACAGTCCCAGCCCTGTGCCTGAGGATGTGGATATTTTCTAATTCTCAGAGATGTCACAAAACACCGTCTTATTTACTGTCTCTATTTGGTATAAAAGGAAGTAATCACTTACTGGATGTACAGTAGTTATTTATAGCCATTGTCCTTCTAGAAGCCCTTGCAGGGCTAAGATTGTTGCATGTTACTTTCTGGCTTTTCAACGCCTTCTGCGATACCTGAGAGCTGATAAAGGACATTTCCACAGATCTAGTTCAAGTGTCATTGATTATTATCAAGCCTTTGATTTATTAAAAAAATATGAAAGCACCATATGGCATTTCAAAAAATGAATGAAGGTGACCCTGTTTATCTTGAGAAAGACCTTTCTCCTTCACTAGTTATACTACTGCATTTTTATTACTATTATGTTCAAGGTACATTAATTCTTATGAGGGATACAGATAATAAGCCATCCATTCTCTCAATGCAAAATGTATGAAGATATCTGACTAGTAGCTGTAAAGGTGTCTAATGTCAGGATGTCTAACCTAAAAATAGAAAACTACGGAAAGACTCCGCTTTTGTGACCAGGGCTTGAATCAATTCTTCTGTAGTTCAGATGATAAAAGTGAAATTTAAATCTCAGTATGAATTGATAGGATTGAATGAGGTGAAATGAATTTGAAATTGCTACTAATAATTTCTAAAGCCCCACCCTGTTCATTAATCCTATAGTCAACACATAAGAAAAAGATTAATTTGTGTATATGAAACTCCATTGCTAATGAGTGTTTAATTTAATAATAGTTCCAAGGTATAAAAACTATAGCACGTACAGTGTAACAGTTTGTAGCAGGCTAAAAGAAAGTGATAAATGGTAAGAAGTAGGCCTACAACATAATTGTAAATATTACATACAGTGGCAGATATGCATTAAAATACTCTAAAGCTAAAATATTAGCTCCACTCAAAATGATATTTTAAAGAAATATGATATTACCTGTAGTTAGAAAGCAGTAAGGAGTTTATTGAGGCAAAATATGAAGTTAATAATCAGTTAATGGTGAGAATTGAAAAGTTTGGAACTGTTTTCGAGCAAATACAGACAAAGTCAAAGCGTAACCGTTGTCACACCGATCAACACGGCACGCTGTGTTTAGTTATCGAATGAATCAGGGTTTTTGAAGGAATCGTTTGAATCAATGAGTCAATGATTCACTCATGAAGACTCATTTGTCGCCACTCGCCAGCCACCTACTGGTGTAACGATGTAACTTGCAGAGTCGTCATCTACTTAACCTTATTTTCTTTCCAAAGCTGTATACATTTCTAGTTTTTGTTCTGTGGAACTCACACACACAAAGAAAATATATATATTTTGAATTCCTGGTTTGGAATAACATTAAAGCGAGTAAACGATTTTCGAGTGAATTGTGGCTTATTAATAATTGTGGCTTTTTTTTTGTATATTGGACAAATATTGGAGATATTGGTGAAAGTGATGATGTAATGATGCACTATTGTATTTAATAACAAACAGTCTACAAAGTTATCAGAAAACCTAGCCTGTTTTAGGTTCTGTCAGCTTAACCTACTGGTTCAGTTCTAGACATTGGCATTGTAAATCCCTTAACCACTACCGGGACGAATAACTTTACTTCACTATATTTCTATTAAATACTAATCTAATTATGACAAAAAATGATATTTTGTTGGAAAGGTCTAAAACTTCTAAATAAATATTCTACTCCTGTTTTGTGTTACAAATTATGTAGGAAGAGTAATTGATGAATTTATGACAAGAGTGCACCTCAAAAAATCTTTTGTAAATAAATAAAAAATATTTTGTAAAATATTATATTTTGTATGAAATAAAAAAAATATATAGTACAGTATATTTGATTTATTGTAAATTTAAACTTCCATAACCTTTTCATACTTTCATTTGTTTTCACTTCAGCAGTGTTTTCTTTAAAACAAGACCAAACTTGGGTATATATTCCAAACCATTCTTGAATTACAACCATTTAAGTTTGATAGTGCATTTTAACCCCCATTCTCAAAAAGGGGCGTGACAGCTAAGGGTCTGTAACATTAATTTAGCTTCTGATTCTGCTTCTGAAACCATTGTGATTCTGCTGTTTTTCTTCATGACCCAATTACACTTCAATTCAGGAATGGACAGTGTTTCATTCTTGTAAAGAAACAGAAACAGAACAGGATTTGTGCTACATTTGAATGTATGATAAGGGGTCAGGACCTTAGCAAAGGCTTGAAAAGCCAGTAGCTCTTAGGGTGTTTTACCATCTTTTGTAATCATTTCCTGGATGAGAGAATTTCAGCAGGTCAACCCGTCCTGGGAACATTCATGTGCAAGTGTTCTACTTTTTATTTTAATTCCCAAATAGTTTCCAAAATACAAAACGTTTTAATCTCAACCTGGTGTT